CAAAATATGAACCTTTCATTACCCATAATAGGGGCACTTAAAAAAGTAATAGCCAAATGGGCTAGTAATTGAATAGTGTTTGTTTTAGCGTCTAATAGGATAAAAATTCACGAGAAACAAACGGCGTATTTGAAGATGCCTTTCAAATTGGGAAAGTCTTTGTTGTGCCGCGGTGACACAATCGGTCTTCAAATGCGAAGGATGCAGCCTTGAATTGGGACGCAGCTAATTGTAGTGGGACGCGTGCCTTTTGTCGTTTATTTATATTAAATATTAGTTACTGAACAATGATATGTAATGAACAATAATATTCATTATACAAGAGGTTATGTTAAATAAAAAAAATAGGCCAACTGTGATGAAAAATTTTACACAATTTAAAAATGGAAATAGTAGAGTAATGGAAATAATGAAATGGTTTAGAGTTCATGTTAATTTTACGGAATGTGTATTTCACTGTGTGTGTGTGTGTGTGTGTGTGTTTTGTTCTTCAGGTCTGGATCGGTTCTGCAGTTTTAATCAGTCTGATCCCTGTTACGCAGCTCTGAGAGACAAACTCAATCTGCTGATGGTGCTGGACACTAGTGAATATGACCTGAAGATCATAAAGAGAATAAACAACAACACAGCAGATGGTCCAGTTTGTAGAGTAAAGAATGGCAGGATGAGGATGAGGGAATGTAATCTTTATAATAACAGACCTGAAGTGACCATCATTAATGGGACTCTGATAATAAACCGTGTGATCAGAGCAGATTCAGGGAATTACAGATTAACACTCGAGAGCTCAGACGGCACAGAAACATCTAGAGATCTTCAAGTGATTTTTGAAGGTACAGAAACTCTCATCAGACTCATTACAATCTCATGTTCTCCAAAGATCTCACTCTCACGCAGATGAATCAGTTGAATCTCTGTGAGGGTTTTTATTCCTGTAGCACACAGTAAACACACTACAGACTCCATCCTCTGAGGCTCCTCTACAACTGGACTCTGAATGGAGATCCACTGATGGATGGAAACAGCAGCATTGATCTGGATGAGGGGATGAGGGGAGACATCAGCTGCAGCGTGAAGAACCACGTCAGTCACGCACAGAACACCATTAGACTCAAACCCTGTGCTGGTGAGATCAGTTCTGTTCATCTACAGATATCAACTACACAGACTGATTGATTGATTGATTGATGTGTTTGTGTTGTTCAGTGTGTTCAGTGTCTGTGGTGTTTGTGCTGGTCTGGTGTCTTCAGCTGATGGTTCTGTTGGGTCTGTTAGGAGGTTTTCACATCTACATGAGACACACGTCAGGTGAGAGACGTTTATCATCATCATTATGGATTTGACATGCAGATATTAAGAGTGTGATGATGATGATGATGATGTGATGCTTTTAGGAAAGAAGCAGGAAGATCAGAAAGTGAGGATGAGAAGATTTAGAGAAGGACCTGAACACACAGCAGAAGATTCATGAGAGCAGCAGCAGATCTTCACATCTGTGAGAAATGACTTCAGAATCTCAGCGATTCTCACATCAGTCCAGCTTTCATCAGGCGACAGCAGGAGATCTTACAGAATAAAGCCAGAAGACATTTTCTGCAGTTTTAGTTAAGAATCTCTTCTTTGATTAGATGATTTTCTGGACATTTGTTTTTGCATCAGTTTAATGCTTATTTTATTCATTTGTCTTTACGCTTTGAATGAACCAGCAGTATTTTACATCATTACATGAAACTCCTTCTGTTCATCCAGATTGTGAAGTCATCCTGTGTGTTTTTCACATTTTCTGCTCTTGTTATTTTATTCAGTTGGTTTTTGTTGATTTCTCTTCATATGCGGCTTCTGTTTAGATGTTTTATCTGTTCAAAACTCTTCGTCTTGATCCATGCCTCAGTTTTAGGGCGTCTGGTGTTTTTTTACCCATGCAGCCATCAGCTACAGTATCGCATCAGATATAGATCCCCTGATGAACAATTCCACTCATTCTCTACTATAGGAGAGGAAGAATTGTTTAAACTTGTTAAATCATCTAAACCAACAACATGTACTGTATTACATGTTCTGACCCTATTCCATCTAAGCTCCTAAAAGAGGTGCTTCCAGAAGTCATCGATCCTCTTCTGACTATTATTAGTTCATCATTGTCATTAGGATATTGTCACATGTTTGTTTCCATGCCCCCATTTGGTCTTCCTGTGCCTGCTCCCTGATTGTTCATTTAATTTGTCCCAGGTGTTTCCTATGTGGTTTCCATTTATCCCAGGTGTGTCTTGTCATCCCATCAGCCTGTTCAGTGTATTTAAAGAGTGTTCTGTTCCCTGTTGGTTTGTCCAGTATCATTTTGTTTACTCCATGTGCTACGTGTGATTCCCCGTGATATAAATAAAGTCCTTGGTTTTGTACTCCTGGTCTCCTCGTTCCTCGCTCCGTGTTCCTGCACCGTAGCAACCCGTGAGAGATATGTCCCCAAAACCTTCTACTGGATCTTAGCGCTGCGTTCGACATGATTGACCACAACATTCTTTTGAATAGACTAGAAAACTTTGTTGGGATTAGTGGAAGTGCATTAGCATGGTTCAAATCGTACTTATCTGACCTCAATAAATTTGTAGCAGTGAATGAAGAGGTATCATATCAATCACAAGTGCAGTGCGGAGTACCTCAAGGCTCAGTACTATGGCCGTTACTTTTCACGCTTTAAATGTTACCCTTGGGAGATATCATAAGAAAACACGGTGTTAGCTTTCACTGTTATGCTGATGATACTCAGCTCTATATTTCTTCG